TGTACACGACTATGACATTTAAACTCTGAGTGTAGAGAAACTTAAATATAAGCATACATTTCTCCAATTTACTTGCTCATTGTCATCACCGGAAGTTTTCGAAAAGCGGGAACATTAGCTTGACGCCGCATTTCAGTAAAATTGGATTACAACATAAACTGAACGATGTAGTCATAAGCTAAATGGATGATATGATACTGCGGTGGAACAAGCTGCAGTACCAATCTTGACTGCAAGATGTTTCGTTTGCGCTAACCTGAGATATTTTTCGATGGCACTGACGAAGTGCAGTTACGCTGCAATCGGCCTGCTACTACTACTATTACTGCTGCAGGATATGCACCGTGGGTACCTTCTTTTTTCAATCTTGATATGTGCAGCCATTCATTTTCGGCCTCTTTTTTATTGACTTCTATCTACTTGACCATGTTATGCAATATTAGTACTATACAATAAAACTGCAGTATAGCATTACGCTGACTGACTGCTTTTGCTGATGGTAAGATGTACTCATCCTGCTCCAGGATATCCCAAAGGATACTGTAAAAGACGTACATGACCTGGAAAATGTGTACAGTAGAAGTTGCTCCGTTCATGTCATTTCATCTCAAATGAATACGGGGATATCTTTATTACTGGTAATTATCGGCTTTAGCGATTAATATAAGATTGCGTTAGTGAATTTTTGTCATGTTGATAATTTTTTGTATAACTGTGAACACTCGCATTAAATTCTTCAAGCCTGTCGTGTAATGCACAACGACAGTTCCTGACTTCTTCCTCAAGGAAGTGTTACCACTGGGTTTAAGGTGTCACTAAGCTTGAAGATATAATAATGGACCTCTTTTTGTACTAGCAGTTGTAGCAGTACTGCATTCAGTCGATTATGATGTGGATAGCCTACTGTAAAGGCAACTGATCCATAAATATATACTACAGTGGTTCTGATCATTATCATTATTATATTATTATTTGTGCCTTAGGTTCATAATGGAACATAGGGATTCAGTAGCATGTCTCCAGTGAACTCTGTTCTCTGAAATATTTAAACCTGGATACACGGCAGCCCACAACCTCTAATTTCTACCTCACACAATCTCCTCAATGTCACCCTCATCTCGGACACACAACTCAACGCTTCCCATCTCCGTTCCACTCGACGGTCCAGCCTGACGCATGATGTCCACCAATGCTCTTCTCAGTAAATCCATCTCCATCAATCTCCATTTACTCAGACATATTTCTTCACTGATAACTTCTTCCTTGGTTCCTTCACAGAGTTACTTGTTGCTTATTCTTACCATTCTGGCAATCCGAGCTTCAGTAACGAGACAGCGTGTGTGGCAGTTGTTGATGAATATCTGTAGTTTGTATGAAATGCCTTCCGTAATGCACCAAGCCATTGACCCATCACATAGAAGCACTGAATTGAGTGGATTGGTGTTGAAAATCGGGATGTTGTTGATGCTTTATGGTGAGTTGAGTGCAGGAGATCTCCACACTGGTTTCGAGTTAATGAATGCCTGTCTTGCCGTTTTTCCGATCCTGGTTGACGTTGATGTCCTTGTCTGGGCTGTTGCCTGTAGTTGAGACGATGCTGATGTGACTAGATAGGTGAAGGAGTCTACTTCGTTTAGGTGTCTCTCATTGATGATGATTGGAGCTTGTTAATGGTTGGGTATCTTCATCATCACATCCACTTGAAGTCCGTCTTCGTTGCCCCACCTCTCCTATCAACTTTAAGTTTTCGCATGTAGATCTCCAAGTTTGTGTGACATGACATTAGATACAAGTCATCTCTGGCGAAATCCAAATCTTCTGGGATGTTTTCCACGGTTGAACAGCGTATCCTCCTCTTCTCGCTCCCCACTGTTTGTTGCGTGATCCAGTAGACCACAATCAAGAATATCATGGGGGATAGTAGGCAACCTTGTTTCACTCCTGTCTTCACTTCACTGCAAAAGCATCACTGAGCTTCCCATTGTGAATTACTTGGCATGTGGCATCTTCATATAGTTGTTGAATGAGGCTGATAAAGGTTTGTGGTACTCCGTTGTGTTGAAGCAGTTTCCAAATTACTTCTCGGTCGACGCTGTTGAAGGCCTTTTCAAAGTCAATGAAGTTGAGGTAAGATCCAGTTGGCTGCCATTCTATACTCTGCTCTATGATGAAGCGAATCGTTTCAATTTGATCCGCACATGATTTGTACTTCCTGAATCCAGTCAGCCTGTTCCGGTCGAAGTTTTGAATCGAGCGCATCGTTTAGTCTGTCCAAGATGATGTGGATAGCCTACTACAAAGGCAACTGATCCATAACTATATACTGAAGTGGTCCTGATTATCGTCCTTCAAATAATAATATATCTTAAGACGCCTCGTAGTTTTAGAAAATTGATTGATGATAATAAGATTTACAACATACTCTCATCGGACAAGCTTTTATTATCATTATTTGTTCCTTGCGTTCCTAGTGGAACATTAGGCTTCAATAGCACGTCGCCATTACACTCTCTTCTCTACAGTCTTTTCAACCTGACCATACAACTGCCCACAACCTCTTATTTCTTCCTCACACCATCTCCTCCATGTTACCCTCACCTAGAATGCCCAACTCGTCGTATCCTATTTGGATTCCTTTTGACAGCCTAACTCCATCTGCAGCGTGATGTCCTCAATTGGTCTCCTCAATGCTTGTCCAATACAATCCAATCCATCTCCACTTTCTTCTTCCGCATATTTGTTGGGCGACAGGTTCTTAGTTGGTCGGTTCGTTGTCAGACCAGACAGAGTTCCTCCTTGCGTATTCTTATTATTCTTGCCATCCATATGATCTTCAGCATCGAGTGAACGTAGGCGGCAGCTGTTGACGATGCTTGTTTACAGGTTGTTGGAAATGCTTTTCGTAACGCGCCAAGTCTCTCAATCATCACATAGAAGCACTGACTTGACTAATCAGTGTTGAAAATTTAGACATTCTTCGCGGTTTATGGTGAGTGCAGTGCAGTGCTGTAGATCTCCACACTGATTTCAGGTTGATGAAGGAAAGCTCATCTTGCTTTTCTGATCCTGGCTTTAACGTCTTCATCTGCGCCTGTGCTGCCCGTAGTTGAAAGGATGCTGCCTTGCCTAGGTAGGTAGTTAGGTGGAAGACACTACTGCGTTTAGATTTCTGCCGTTCATGATGATTGATGACTGTTGTTGCTGTTTCGTTGTTGATGTTCTTGGTTGGATATCTCCACCACCCCTGTCTTCTCTACATTCACCTGAAGGAAGTCCCGTCTTCCTTCGCGGCCTTGCTGTTTCTACCAACCTGTTGGTTTTCGCCTGTAGATCTTCGAGTTTGTGCGACAAGATATTAAACATAAATCATCATCATCAGCGGCGAAATCCAAATCTTCTTCTGGATTCTTTTCATAGGTCCAGTCAGCGTATGCCATCTCCTCACAGCTCCTCACAGTTTCTTGCATGATCTAGTCCAGTCCAGTCCAGTCGACCACTATCAAGAAGATCATTTGTGATAGTAGATGGCAACCACCTTGTCCTACACTTGTCTTCACTTCGAAGGCATCACTGAGGTTTCCATTGCGTTGTGAATCACTTGGCATGTAGCATCATATAGCATATAGTTTCTGAGTGAGGTTGATAAAGTTTTGTGGCACTAAAACTGTAGTGTTGAAGCAGTTTCCAAATTACTACTCTTTCGACGCTATCGAAGGCTTTTTCAAAATGGTTGAATTTGAGGTATAAGGTTGACTGTCATTCTATGCTCTGTTCTATGATGATGAGATATTAAGTAACTTAGTTTTGTAATTAAAGTCAGTATAGATTCATAATCGAAATCGTTCTGTGAATAAGATGGCTTTCTTGATACATATTTGTCATCATTTTGTTGTTATTACTCTCTCTTTCAACTAAACCATCCAAAACGTCAGTTGGGTTATATCGATTTATTTTGAGGTTCTCTGAGATTTTATTTATTTCAAGGTAATATTCATCATAGAGTGACATTATCTGGAGTACCACTGGGAACTGGGGACTACTGGAAAATGATCAACTGTTCCCAACTTCTGTCAAACCGTGATGCAATGCGAATATGCACTAAAGTCTTCAGTTGACATCCGCCTCACTTCAGACTGTTTAACCTCACAGGTCACAGGTTTATGTCAAATTCAACCTTTCTTGCCTAATGTCTGAAGTTAGTCCATAATGACTATAAGGAATGGGTCATTTGACCATTAAAACCCTTAAATCAGAGTAACGTATAATTGGATGATTGTTATTCACCGTTAATTGCTGGTTTATGAGAACTAATTGATTCTGATATGGTAATTTTTGCTAACTGATACCTGAGATTTCTGGACAGTTATTTCTTCCTGTGTACTGTGTCTCTACAACTCTCATGAACGAATGACCATAAGACTTCCACTTTTAGCGATGAGTAAGTTAATGACCAGCCATAGGATTGGAAACCAAGCGTCAAAATTTCCCTACTTCAGTCTGTTGTTTGTGTAACATAACTGTCGGCAAATAAGTGGAATCAGATCTGTTTTGGCTGAACCTCTTTTCAACAAGACTTCAAAAATTTCATCTCAAGTTAATTTCCTTCATGAGAACTGTACAACAATTCTATGCATAAATGAATATTTATGACTAGCTGGTCTAAGTTTTTACACCTAGAATTTGATATTCAACAGAGCATTAGTAGTTTTCTGATCCAATTTCCTATTGCCTAAGCACTAGAGAAATTCTCTTTCAGTAGAAATATCCTTCCTAATGTCATCAAGTCTCTTGAAAAGTATACTGTATACTAGTTTATATTTCTATAGGGCTTTGTACTTTACAAGCAATGACACTGACTATTCACATACTATACATCTCTTCCATTGTATTACTACACTGAATTTGTTTGCTCTCATACTCTTGTTTACTTTTTTCTATGTCTTTGTTGTGGAACTTAATTGGATGGGGAAGAATTTTGTTCATACTTCAATGAATATTGTATGAATAGATCAATGATAAGTTCTCAACATCTAGAAGAACAATTGTTACCTGATACAGAACTTGTTAGCTCAGATTGTGAAAATAGTTATGTAATAAAGGGAAAGTATGACAACTCTATAACAACTAAAAAATTCCTGCTGAAGGTAATTCACCTATCATTTAAATCAGTGAAAGTATTAATACATATGATTATTTCTTATAACAGATTTGTATAATTGTATGTACTGAAATACTTATAACAGTATTAATTACTACAATATTCAGTAATGTGTAAGTATAAACACCTCACTTGAAATAAAACAAAATTATTGATGAATTGTAGAACAGCAATCAAAAAGGCATTGAATGAACATCCATGGATATCACCAGCTTTCGGGTAAGTTAGTAATCCTTGAAGCAAATATTCAGCTAAGTTTACTTAATAAATTTCTAAAAACCTCATAGTATCACATATACTTCACTGATAACCAGTTTGGATCTGAGATTTTTTTTGCTGACAAATGCACTTGAACTCCCTACATGTGTAGAGTGTTGGCTGTTAGAGGAACCTAAATAAGCAGTTAATTTTGAGGTAACTACATAGGAAAGTTAATTTGGTTCAAAGAATTGACAAACAAGAAACTTCAAATTCAAATCATGCATTCTTATTACAGAAAATTGAAATTTAGATGTATGCAGATGATGAGTCAGAAACGATGCTTCTTCTCTCATATTACTAAGTAAATAACCTTGAAGTGAAATTCATGATACCACAAAAGGATTCATTGAGGTAGCCAAGAATGGTTCAGGAAAATACACAGTGTAGAATAACTGGTATGAGTGAAATAGACAATCTCACTTGTTCAGTTGATAGAATGGCAATCAGCTCTCTACCTCAACTTCATCGACTTTGAGAAGGCCTTTGACAGCGTCGACCGAGAAGTAATTTGGAAACTGCTTCATTACTACGGAGTACCGCAAATCTTTATCCGCCCCATTCAACAACTATATGAAGATGCCACATGCCAAGTAATTCACAATGGGAAGCAAGCTCAGTGATGCTTTTGCAGTGAAGTGAAGACAGGAGTGAAACAAGGTTGCCTTCTATCCAACATGATATTCCTGATTGTGGTCGACTAGGCTGGATCATGCAGCAAACAGTAGGCAGCGAGAAGAGGGGATACGCTGGACTGCGGAAAAGAACCTAGAAGACTTGGATTTCGCCAGTGATGACTTGTGCCTAATGTCACATAAACTTGAAGATCTACAGGTGAAACTAACAAGTTGACAGAAGAGGCAGGGCAGCGAAGACGGGACTTCAGGTGAATATAGAGAAGACAGAGGTGATGAAGATACCGCACCACCACCATCAACAACAACAACAAACTCCAATCACCATCAACGGGAGAAACTCAAAGAAGTAACCTCCTTCACCTATCTAGGAAGCACTGTTTCAACTACAGGCGGCACAGGCACAGACGAGGATGTCAAAGCCAGTCAGAATCGGAAAAGCAAGACAGGCCTTCATTAGCCTGAAACCAGTGTGGAGATCTACTTCACTGCACTCAGCATGGCGTGAACAACATCCGGATTTTCAACACCAACCCAGTCAAGTGAGTGCTTCTGTGTGATGGTTGAGAGACTTGGCGCGTCACGAAAGTGATTTCCAATAAACTACAGACATTCATCAACAACTGCTTACGCTGGCTCGCTACTGAAGATCAGATGGCCAGAAAAGAATAAGCAACAAGGAGCTCTGGGAACAACCAACCAAGAACCTATCAGTCAACAAATATGCAGGAGGAAGTGGAGATGGATTGGGCATGCACCGAGAAGGCCGACTGGGGACATCACGCGTCAGGCCAGTTGCTCGAGTGGAATCCCCATAGGAAGCGACGAGTTGGACGTCCGAGGTGAGGGTGACATGGAGGAGTCGTGTGAGGAGGAAATGAGAGCTTGTGGGTTGTCGTGGAACCAGGTTGAAAAGATCTCAGAGAACAGAGGTCACTGGAGACGTGCTACTGAAGCCCTATGTTCCACTAGGAACTCAAGGGACTAATAATAATAAAATAATACTTGTTCAGTTGAACAATCCAAACTACTGACTCTAAATTTCAGATTATTCAATCAACTGGTCAGCTTAATTCAATCTACGATAGGTTCATATAACCACCTAGAATTAGAATATATGTGTAACGGATGAAGTGACCTTGATTGAAAGTACCAGTTGAAATAGACAAAAACATAACCTGAAACAATGGCTTAAACTACCGCAAACTTAAAATATCTCACATACCTTGACCTTGAAGACTGTAGTTCTTTATTAGGGTAAGATAAAAGAATCTATAGTTCCCTTTCATTTTCACTAAACACTGTAGGTATTTCAGTCCTATTTAGAGACAGTTACAATCAGAATACCTCATTGTTAACACCTCTAAATGAAGTATTGACTGGTAGTGGTGTGGATGTGCAACTGAACATCAATCCTCTTGTGTTTATAAAGATGCCTTATTCACTAGTGGGTGTAGATGATATCCAGGTAATTGATTCTAACCACCTCGAGTCAGTAACTTCATATATTGGTCAACATTACCTCAATCCACCACCATCAATCTTCTTTCACTGCTTCGACTCATGAGTAACAGAACACTCCATATAATACATGAAACTCCATATTGACACGGAAAGCAGAATATTTCTTTAAAAACCATTGCTCAAAGTAAGATCACTATTATTGTAACAGCTAAGAAGATATTTCACTTATTTATATGAGAAATGACATGTTAGGAATAGGTCAACAAGGTGAACAACGATGATGTTAGAGTGTGGTAACACCGTTACTCATGATGATACCAGTACGAGGTGCTGACAAGTACATATCGTAGCAAAAATACCTTTCTTTCTTCGTTTCATCTATATGAACTAAAATAAGACAATTTACCTCCACTTCGTCGACTTTGAAAAGACCTTCAACAGCTTCAAATGAGAAGTAACTTGCAAACTGCTTCAACACTACCGAATACTACAAACCCTTATCAACATCATTCAATAAATATATGAAAACGCAACAGTCCAAGTGATACACAATGAAAAGCTCAGTTATACTTTTGAAGTGAAGACAGGAGTAGGAAAAGGCTGCCACCTTCCATCATCAATAATCTTCCTGATTCAGGTACACTGGATCATGCAACAGACTGTGAGGAAAGAGGAGCGAGAGATACGCTTTTTGACAGTGGAAAACATCCTAGAATATTTGGATTTCACCAGAGATGACTTGTATCTAATGTCATGTCACACAAACTTGGAGATCTACACTCAAAATCCAACAAGTTGACAGAAGAGGTAGGGCAACGAAGACGGTACTTCAAGTGAAGGTAGAGAAGACAGAGGTGATGATGATGATGATGAAGATACCCAACCAACACCACCACCACCACCAACAACAACAACAACAACAACAATAATGACAAGCTCATCATCATCAATGAGAGACACCTAAATGAAGTAGACTCCTTCACCTATCTAGTCACATCAACGTCGTCTCAACTACAGGCAGCGGCACACACAGTTGAGGACGTCGAAGTCAGCCAGAATCGGGAAGACAGCAAGACAGGCATTCATTAACTCGAAACCAGTGTCGAGATCTCCTGCACTCCACTCACCATAAAGCATGAACAAGATGTGGATTTTCAACACCAATCCACTCAATTCAGTGCTTCTATGTGATGGATCAGTGACTTGGTGCATTACGAAGGCATTTCACACAAACTACAGATATTCATCAACAACTGCCACCCACACTGTCTCGTTACTGAAGATCAGATGGATGGCCAGAATAATAAGAATAAGCAACAATTAACTCTGTGAACGAACCAAGCAAGAAGTTATCAGTGAAGAAATATGTCTGAGTAAGTGGAGATTGATGGAGATGGATTTACTGAGAAGAGCATTCGGGGACACCACGTGACAGACCAGGCCATTTAGTGTAAGCGAGATGGGAAGCGTTGAGTTGTGTGTCCGAGATGAGTGTGACATTGAGGAGATCGTGAGAGGAGTAAATGAGAGGTTGTGGTGAGTCGTGGAGCGTGGAGCGTGGAGCCAAGTTGGAAGGGTTGCAGAAAAGTGAAGAGTGTAACGGAGATGTGTTACTGAAGGTGTATGTTTCACTAGGAACTCAAGTGACAAATAATAATAATAATAAGACAATTGATTTGGTGTGGACGCACAGACTGAACGGTTCCTATGGGCATTTCTCACAGTTGATTAGTTTCTTAACTGCTCAACTCCATTGAAAACCATTCAGTCGAAATCACACAAAAGTGTCATGAACTAACGTAATACACTAATACTGAACAACTTCAGTAGTAATATGTCAATCATGTTGATCTATCTAGTGAAATTTATAGGTCAGTCTGGATTGTTTCTGATGACTCAAGTCTTTCAGGAGTATATTTCACTGCATTTTCCCATTGTTTATAATCGCCATAAAAGAAAACAGACTTAACCATCTACATAGCTTCAGCAAATAAAACACTGAGGAGCAGTCAAACTGGGAAGTCTCTTTACAGGTGCAGAAAACATTATGGTGACAAGTGAAGCTAAACGAACTCTATTCATCCATCTTAATGTTAATTACTTGGTAACTGTCTCAAATTTGACTAATTAACTCGTACACTTAAGTTAGAAGTTTTATACGTTTAGACTGGATTCTTCTAAACGATTTTGGGATCATATTTTCCAATATCTTTTTTAATCAAAACAGTACCACATAGCTTTCGATGTAACATTAGCAGTCAATCGGCAGGACTGGATTGATGCAGGTTTTGAGCATTCTGACTGTCATAAGTAAGGCTTATCTTCACACATGAGCAGTAAATATGTGGTCAACATACCATACATGCAGTTATAACCCCATCTAATCCCTTCAAGTTGTCCTGTTTCACGCGATGTTCATGATAAACTAAACGACTGTTGAATATGTGACTCTTGGTACTGACAAGGTATCTCACACAATAAAACACCTTTCGAAGTAATCCCCCGACTACTGACACCAAATTCCTGGTCATCCAAGAAGTATGACTTTGCTTCTACTCTTAAACTAACTTCACAGTTTTTACGAAGTGGTCATTATTGCGGAACCGATGCAATTTTCTAGTTATTAATGACCTTAAATAAGCATTATGTCTGCAAAGCTGTGGGACGTTACAGTGTGGTGCAATATACGTTGATGTTAAGCTTATAAAGTTAACTGACTGAAAATCATAATCGACATAGGTTTCGTACTTGTTCGTACTCATCAGCAGTCGTAAAGAAACTTGAATTTTCCTTGAAGATTCAGTTATGAATCATTCAGCTATTGATAGCAAGCTGACCTATGATAAAGAAATACCGTTGACACATTCTCTAATGTTATCGAAATGAAATAGGAGCTGCAGGTGAATTACTTGGTAAAGCAGCTCGTTACTGAATAACAGCAGATGTTCTTCCTCCACCCCCTCATTAGTGTACCGACAAGCTTAAGTTGATCAGGGTGAAACAAGAGCAGTAACCTGAGTGTGAACTATTGTACTTTATGTTCAATATTGAATTGTTAAAGGTAGCCAATAAGAAAGTAGTCATCAAGGTAACGAATGACAAAGCTAAATTAATCAATATCCACATCTCTAACAGTAAAGCAGAATGTCAGAGG